GCCCTTCGAAGCTGCCCTTCAAGAACTCAAATCCACCATGCGCTGGCCCCACGGTGGGCGCCAACTGTCGTGGAATTGTCACGGCAGATGTCCTTTTGCAAGGACTTAGTCGTGGAGCCATCGCAACTAGAAAGCTTAAAGGGGTTAATCGGGACAAGGACACGCGAGGTTTATACTAGTTCAGCCCCTTACGGTGAAGGAAGGCCTACGTCTAGTTGGGTTGGAATTGCTTGAGGTTTCGATGACCAGGGAGCGAGATACGCTATGCCTGGCTCTCGATCAGTTGTTTTCTCCCCTAAGCCGCTGGCGGGTCGTCCCCTTATATACACGGGTTGACGCCCTGCGACCTATAGAGTCCCGGCCGGCTCATAAACAGTGTCCGGCTCGGCGACTAGTTACTTCTACCTTACAGTACAAGTTATACCATCATGGCGGTTTATCTTTACGGGCCTCAGAGTCGCTTGTGGGCCTTTAAGCCTTTTAGTGAACCGTCATCTTCATGCCTTGGTCTTGGGCTTCTGATGAACCTCTATTTGTGTAATCCGGCCCCTCCTGAATGGCTTACACAAATAGTCATATCCCCAACACCATAGGATTTTTTCCATTGAGTCTAGGCTAATGTTTATTTTCCTATGAAATGTGAAGGATAGGAAGAATTCCTCCATAGGAATAGAATTTCATTCCTACAAACCAAAGAGCTCTGAAGGAACTTTTCCTATAGAAATCCTATCCTATGAAAATCCTACAAAATTCCTCCAAACCAAAGGAGGCCGTCATGTGGCTTCGCCACTGGTAGTACGTACTCCCTACACAGATGATCTCAGTGTGTTTCTCATTTTGGTAAAGAATCCATGCAACCTTTTTACTCGCAAATAGGAAGAAGAATGAAAGGAACAGATCTGCATCCAGTTGCACGCGCTCCCTTAGTAGACAAGGAATCAATTCTATTAATACCCTGTTTGTTTAGTCTTTTGCTTCCGTTTTTACAGTTTTTTCACTTTAGCAAAAAAAACAAACCCCAAAACTCCCAAATAAAGCCTTTTATTTTGTTTTGGCTCATGAATCAATATCTATCTCATGATGGTACCAGCCAAAAGCCGAAGCAAAAAACCCTTATTTAGGAGTTTTCGTGGCTTTTTTGTGAAAATAAAAAAATGAAAGCAGAAGCAAAAGCCCAAAATAACAGATATTAATTCGCAAGACAGACGGAATCATCATCTTAAACTGGATTCCAGTTCCATGGGTCGACCGGCCGATGATTAGCGATCGCTACATATACAGAATTGACTCCAAAGCTAATAAGAAAGGTGACATGAGGGCTTAGGCGCAAACCCGGCCGCTCCTTTTTTTTAAGGAAATAACCCGGCCGCTCCTTCTTTTTTTTTAAGGAAATAACCCGGCCGCTCCTTCGAAATAAATAAATACCTCGCCCACTGTGGCTCGAGGGGATCCGACGCGTGCGCGAGAGAGGGGAGAAAAGAAAGGCCGGAAAGCGGTTTGGTTGGGGTATGTGCTTGTCCGTGGAGAAAAAAGGGAAGGAGTTTTGTGACTTTTTTTTGTGAGCGAGGGAGGTTTCTCTTGGTGGTCGGAGGAGCGGCAGCGTCCCCGGGTGTAGCAAAGAGATTCCGAGCACCATAAATCTGAGGTAAACGGGACTGAGTTTTCTGATGTCTCCTCCTCATTACCTCATTAGATGCGTTCAAGCTCAACGTGAGCTGAAAGGCCTCTGCCTGAAGTTGTTGCGCCCGTACGTCCAAAGCCGCCCGCTTTGTGGCTAATCTAGTATCTTCAGCTGCTAAGGTTTCCCTGGCCCGGGCGATCTCATCGCGAACCTGCGCCACCTCTGCCTCATGCTCAGATTGGTTCGCAGGGACAACTGTAGCAGTTAACAAGGCCGTAAGTTTATCCATGAGATCCATCAGCACCTGAGCCGGTGAGCGCACAGGGCCTCCTGCTCCGGCTGCTCCTAACCCGGACATTATCGCCACTGAGGCCGTAGAATTTTGGCCGGGTTGAGTACCAGCCATGAAGACTCCTGCCCAGTTTGGCGACTCTGAGGGGTCCAAAATAGTGCTGCCATCGGAACAGCCCCCAAGCACACCATCTTGAACTTGATACAGCGAATCTGTTGAGCCGGCGGACGAATCACCGTCAGAGAGAACGGCCGGCTCACCATCACCTTCAGATCATTCAGGAAGTTCACCTCCGTGGATGCAACCTACAAAGGCACGCTTCACGACGGGTTGAGCTCGGGCGGGTTTCGCACGCTGAGCCGTCTCGACGAGGTCAGTGCAGCTGTCCGGCTCAGGGCCCAGCTCACCCATCTGGCCGATGAAGACGTGAATTCCGCCAAAGGGGACCCGGTACTCATACTCAATTGAGCCGGCGTCGGGGCCCCAGCCTTCGTCGTCGATGTAGATCTTGCCGCGACGACTCTTGGTCATCCGGCCAACTGCGTATCCCTTGAGCCCTTCGAAGCTGCCCTTCAAGAACTCAAATCCACCATGCGCTGGCCCCACGGTGGGCACCAACTGTCGTGGAATTGTCACGGCAGATGTCCTTTTGCAAGGACTTAGTCGTGGAGCCATCGCAACTAGAAAGCTTAAAGGGGTTAATCGGGACAAGGACACGCGAGGTTTATACTAGTTCAGCCCCTTACGGTGAAGGAAGGCCTACGTCTAGTTGGGTTGGAATTGCTTGAGGTTTCGATGACCAGGGAGCGAGATACGCTATGCCTGGCTCTCGATCAGTTGTTTTCTCCCCTAAGCCGCTGGCGGGTCGTCCCCTTATATACACGGGTTGACGCCCTGCGACCTATAGAGTCCCGTCCGGCTCATAAACAGTGTCCGGCTCGGCGACTAGTTACTTCTACCTTACAGTACAAGTTATACCATCATGGCGGTTTATCTTTACGGGCCTCAGAGTCGCTTGTGGGCCTTTAAGCCTTTTAGTGAACCGTCATCTTCATGCCTTGGTCTTGGGCTTCTGATGAACCTCTATTTGTGTAATCCGGCCCCTCCTGGATGGCTTACACAAATAGTCATATCCCCAACACCATAGGATTTTTTCCATTGAGTCTAGGCTAATGTTTATTTTCCTATGAAATGTGAAGGATAGGAAGAATTCCTCCATAGGAATAGAATTTCATTCCTACAAACCAAAGAGCTCTGAAGGAACTTTTCCTATAGAAATCCTATCCTATGAAAATCCTACAAAATTCCTCCAAACCAAAGGAGGCCGTCATGTGGCTTCGCCACTGGTAGTACGTACTCCCTACACAGATGATCTCAGCGTGTTTCTCATTTTGGTAAAGAATCCATGCAACCTTTTTACTCGCAAATAGGAAGAAGAATGAAAGGAACAGATCTGCATCCAGTTGCACGCGCTCCCTTAGTAGACAAGGAATCAATTCTATTAATACCCTGTTTGTTTAGTCTTTTGCTTCCGTTTTTACAGTTTTTTCACTTTAGCAAAAAAAAAACCCCCCAAAACTCCCAAATAAAGCCTTTTATTTTGTTTTGGCTCATGAATCAATATCTATCTCATGATGGTATCAGCCAAAAGCCGAAGCAAAAAACCCTTATTTAGGAGCTTTCGTGGCCTTTTTGTGAAAATAAAAAAATGAAAGCAGAAGCAAAAGCCCAAAATAACAGATATTAATTCGCAAGACAGACGGAATCATCATCTTAAACTGGATTCCAGTTCCATGGGTCGACCGGCCGATGATTAGCGATCGCTACATATACAGAATTGACTCCAAAGCTAATAAGAAAGGTGACGTGAGGGCTTAGGCGCAAACCCGGCCGCTCCTTTTTTTTTTAAGGAAATAACCCGGCCGCTCCTTCTTTTTTTTTAAGGAAATAACCCGGCCGCTCCTTCGAAATAAATAAATACCTCGCCCACTGTGGCTCGAGGGAGCGCTGCCGCTCCTCCGACCACCAAGAGAAACCTCCCTCGCTCACAAAAAAAAGTCACAAAACTCCTTCCCTTTTTTCTCCACGGACAAGCACATACCCCAACCAAACCGCTTTCCGGCCTTTCTTTTCTCCCCTCTCTCGCGCACGCGTCGGATCCCCGGCGCCGGGGGACTCCGCCGGCTCACTCCCACGACTGGCGCGGGCAGAGGTAATCCGCTCCCCCGCTTCTCGACGGGTTTTTCCGGGGTGGGGGCGATATTTTGGGGGTAATCCCGCAGCTCGGAGGCCGGGATTCGGTTCTGTGGTCGTGGATGGCCGGCCGGCCGGGCGGTTCCGCCTCCGAGCCCCGGGGCTCGTCGTGCCTGCGAGTCCCGCCCGCAGCCGGGCCGGAGGACGCGATCAGGCCAAAGTTCGTCGCTTCGACGCCAAGCAAAGTCCAGTTTCCGCGTTTCATCGGCAACAAATAGGTGTCAAGTTTGCTGCTGCGGCGGTTCATCCCCTCCCCTGCAGGCCGCGGCGGTGGATTCTTTCCAGTGTTCCTGCTTGATGAAGCCTAGTTTCCGTCCCCAGATATGGGAGACCCCACCCTCTCCCTGTAGGAGAGGAGGACAAGAACAGTCATAGTCCAGTAGTACCAGTACTGTAAGCTGTGCAGCTACCGCCGCACACGCACCTGCATTCTCCTCTTGTGCCCGCGCGTCTTGTGGTTGTTGTGGTTGTTGGGGGTGGCGTTGTCTCGGAGACCACTTGCTCATGCCTTTGTCATGTCGCATACATGCTGCTTCTGCAAAACCAGGCCATCTGCTTTTGCCTTTCAATTTTGCTCTATTTTTTTGTTGCATTAACGCAAGCAACTGGAGAGCTATCAACTCAAACGAATATGTTTGTCATGTCAAGTCACTTTCTCTGAATAACTGACCTGTGTGTGAATGAAGGTCAAGAGAGTTGCTGATTCTGCTTTGCTTCCCTGAACCTGTGGCGTTGCACAAGACAAACTAACTGTCCTGCTAGGAGCCTCGAGCAGGGCTGCCCACGGCGTGCCGGAATCTTCCGTCGTCCCTCCTCCTGACCGGCTGACTTCCGATGGGATGGGGAACCCTCATAACCAGGCGCCTCAAAGTTTTTTCCTTGGCGCTGTTCGTCTACTTCGACTACAAGGTGTGTTTCTGCTTCTTTCTATGATGTTCTTTCGACATCCAGTCTCTTCTTCTGTTGTTCTGGTGGAAGCAGATTAACATCTTTCCGAGGTACAAGCAGGCTGTTCAGAAGAGAGTCCAGTGGGTTAGCGCTGTCAAGAAGAATGCTATATGGGCAAAGACGCACGAGCGGAATGCGCGTCGTGTTCTCAACCTGATGATAGAGCTAGAAGGTTTGTGGGTGAAAATGGGCCAGTATCTGTCCACAAGAGCAGACGTGCTTCCTGAGCCGTACATAGAGGTCCTGAAGCAGCTGCAGGACTCGCTTCCTCCACGCCCTCTTGAAGAGGTATGTATACATTGATTAGTGAATGGTAGATTGAAAAATAATTTAATCATAAGCATTTCCATTTTTGTAGCCAACCAATCTGGCAACATCATATAGCATGACTTAATGTAGTTCATCCTAGTCTTAGTTCTGTCTGTCGTGTGCAGGTTTGTGGAACCATAGAAAAAGAACTTGGGAAACCCATGCGTCAACTATTTGCTACTTTTGACGTTGACCCTCTTGCGACCGCATCAGTAAGTCCTGTTGCTCCCAAATGAACTATATTTTCTCTGGTGTAAATTCATAGCATGGTTGAACACTTCTTGACAGATAGCACAAGTTCATCGTGCAACTCTGGAAGACGGCAGAGAAGTGGTTGTCAAAGTTCAGCATGATGGTATCAAAGAGATCATATTAGAGGTTCTTTTCTTTTCTGGAAATAGTGTTTTGTAAGACAAGTAGGATTGCTATTGTAACTTTTCATCTGTGATCAGGATTTGAAGAATGCAAAATCATTGATCGAATGGATTGCATGGGCAGAACCTCAGTATGACTTCAACCCAATGATTGATGAATGGTGCAAGGAGGCACCCAAGGAACTTGATTTCAATCATGAAGCAGGTAGTTCTCCTTGCTCAGATTCTTAGGTACAGCATTCATAAAGAGGTTATCATGATAATGTAAGGCGCAAAATCTACTTTCAGAGAACACTAGGACTGTCTCCAAGAATCTTAGTCGGAAGACCGAAGGTGGGAGTGGCAGTGTTTCCAGCGATGTTGATGTACTGATACCAGAAATTATTCAGGTCTAACTGTCAGCCCGAATTTTATTCTGTTTGTCTTGCATTAGTGTTTGCAAATCACGTGACCATCGTCTGACCCATTCTTCTTTGTATCAGTCTACTGAAAAGATTCTAATTCTGGAATACATGGACGGCATTCGCTTACATGACAATGATTCATTGGAAGAATATGGTGTTGATAAGAAAAGACTCGTTGAAGAGATAACCCGTGCTTATGCTCATCAAATATACATTGACGGTTTCTTCAATGGCGATCCTCATCCTGGTATTGTAATTCTATGCTTCTTTAGGCAGATCTTGTGTTACATAAATTCTTTTCTCCAATATTTCCATTGGATTTCTTTGTGTTGCTTTCACACCGATTCATACTAACATGCTTTTCTTTTCTGTAGGCAATTTTCTTGTAAGCAAGGAACCTCCACATAAACCGATTCTCCTTGATTTTGGGCTCACTAAACGCATATCACAATCAATGAAGCAGGCACTAGCAAAGATGTTTTTATCATGCGCTGAGGTTTGTAACATTTTGATCTTACAAATAATACACATGGCATCAAAGAGTAAGAGTATCTTTTGTAGTTATAAGCAACAAGCATTTCCTTAAGATAACTGTAACCCCTCTTTGTATTATGGTTGAATCAAAAGAAGCATATCTTTTAATATTTTAACTTTTTTCATGTAATAAATATTGTGGCTCTTTATCCCTGCATTACACACCAGTGATATTGCAGACTGGTAGATGACACGGCATATTCAACAACTATAAGATAAGCAAGACAGAATCAGGAACTTGGCTTTATTTTTGCGATCATGTTTTTTCCTATAGTAAATTATTAAATTTCACGCGACACCACTTGATCATAGGCACAAATGTAAATTTTTGTTAGATGTTTGATTCATTCTATCTTTTGTCGCTTATTACTAGCTTCCCATTCTTTTGTTTAAACTCTATAATTTAAAATTCTGAGATCAACGTGTAGGGGGACCAAGTGGCACTGCTGTCAGCCTTTGCAGAGATGGGGCTTAAGCTGCGAGTTGACATGCCTCAGCAGTCTATGGAGATTGCCTCAATATTTTTTCGCCAGTCCACTACAGCAACTGAAGCGAAAGTATGCTGAAGGCCCGTTCTAGATTTTCTTTGTTCCTAATACTGCAGGAAGTTGTAGTAACTGGTTGGTTGTGGTTTGTTCCTACTTATTAGGAGAACATTAAAGCATTGAATGAGCAAAGAGAACGAAACGCCAAAGCCCTTCAAGAGAAGATGAAATTGAACAAGAAGGAGGTTAAACATTTCAATCCTGTGAGTAGCCATGCCCAGCTAATTACTTTCCTTAAGCTGTGTTGGGTTTGTCAACCAAGAGACCGGTGTTAAATGAAGGTTTTCTTGCTATCAGGTTGATGCTTTCCCTGGGGATGCGATAATTTTTATGAGGGTCTTGAATCTTCTTAGAGGTATGTCTTTGTCTCTTGAACTTGTACATTCCTCTGACATGTCCATCATCTCACAGTGGCTGTTTTTCATTTATACCTGCAGGGCTTTCAGCTTCACTGAATGTTAGGATAGTTTATCTGGACATCATGAGACCATTTGCTGAATCAACTTTGCTAGGGTGAGATGCACGCCATGCCTGTGTTTTGCATCAGCTTTGTGCGGATCATTCTTTTCGAATTGCTAATAATTTAGGCTTCATTGATATCAGGAGTATGACACGTGGGCCCTCAACTAATAGCGAGTGGATTTATGACTCACCTGTTAACTCTGAAGTGGAGTCTAAACTGAGGAGTCTTCTACTCGAGATGGGAAGCGACAAAATTTTGGGACTACAAGTGGGTCAATAATCTCATGCCACTCATTTACATGCCATGACAGTACTGTAGCAATATTTTGTATGCCGAAATTTCACATCACGAGTTTACCAACGATATCTGCATACGGTTGTCTTGTTGCAACGCAGCCTTACTGATATTCCTCCCGCAGGTATGCGCATACAAAGATGGAAAGGTCATAATAGACACCGCTGCTGGTACATTAGGGAAATACGATCCACGTCCCGTTCAGCCTGATTCTCTGTTTCCGGTTTTCTCGGTGACGAAGGGTATCACTGCTGGAATGGTACATTGGCTCGTCGACCAAGGGTGAGTGGTTAATTTCAGCACCAAGTTTTTTCTTAGCATGCCACTGTAAATCTGTTTGCAGGCCATCTGGCTGCATTATGCTGTAGAATTAGTCGTGCTATGTGCAATATTTTTGCTCATCGTCATATTCATCTTCATCTTAGTTTTACTCGTACTACATGAAAAAGGGCCTAGAAGTATAAACATGGTAGCATGTTGCAAGGAAACAGGGTATTCTCTCTCAGTATACTCAACATTCAGTGTACTATGTTGCTGTAGTTTTAGTTGCAGTCTCACTTTACCCTTTCCATTTCTTCCCTGCGTCTAAAAAACGGACAGGGATCAGGTGACTTGCCCACTGCGAGTCACGCCGTAACTTGTGGGCACCCATCCATTTGATCTGAAATGGACAGCCCAGATCAAGTCCAGTAGCAACAAGGACTATTATTCACGATTTACTGTTCATGAGGTACTGTAGACCGGATCCTGTAGACGTACACTGTAGCTGTCTCATTGTTTACGTCGAAGGGTATAAAGAGGGTGGCAAGTCGCTATACTGTTCACCGGTACTCGCCCACAGCAAGTCACCGGATCTCAGTCCCTAAAAAACGGACAGCGCTGAGCGTCCCTCTCTTTCTCTCTCCCCGACCGAAGGGCCCCATCCCACCCCCACTTCCCCACGAGATTTTCAAAAAACCCCCTTCCCTCCACCCAAAACCCTAAGCCGCCCCAGACTGCGGCGGTGATGGAGGTGCCACCGGAGATGCTCGACGCCCTGGCAGGATGGTTCACGCAGACGCTCTCCCCCGCCGCTGAGCAGAGCCTCTCCGCCACAGCCTCCACCCCGGGCTTCGCGCTTTGTGGATGTTATTGGCAGCATCCACTGTTGGTCGAAAAGAAAGTCTCACTTCACAGAAGTCACACTTTTTTTTTGACATTATGTGTGTTCTGAGTTCTGACGCACCTAAAAGGATCTGTGCTTCTAGTTTAGGCTTCCTAGCATCTCATTCTTATGTGAAGCAGATCCTTTGGATCTCTGGCTGTTGTGCATGATTCTCTTTGGAGAACAATAAGCATCTTTTCCATGTTGCCTTATGCTTTTATACACTTTATCTTGTCCATATAGTGACTGTATGCTCTGATCTTTCAGGAAGTTGAAGTATGAAGAAACAGTTGCCGATATATGGCCAAAATTTGGGACTAACAAAAAGGAGCTAATCAAGGTGCAAAAACTTATTTCACTTATGCTATGTAATGAGACACAGTGTTTCAGGATAATAACAGACTCATTTGTCACTTCGTAATAAAGGTGCACCATCTTCTCAATCATACATCTGGTTTACATAATGCTCTGGGAGATGTGGTCAAAACCGATCCTATGTCGGTATGTGATTGGGAAGAGATGCTAGACCAGATTGCCAAATCTACACCCGAAACTGAGCCTGGTTCATCACAAATTTATCACTACCTATCCTTTGGTTGGCTGTGTGGCGGTCTCATAGAGGTATAATTAATCTAAGGAAGTGCACTCATACTGCTTCTGTTGTAACTTTATTTATGTATCCTAACACTGGCATTTGACAATAACAGCATGCATCGGGGAGGAAGTTTCAAGAGATCCTAGAAGAGGCTATTGTTCATCCTCTTCACATCGAGGGAGAGCTATATGTCGGAATTCCTCCAGGTATGTTGACAGATCTAAAAAGGAAGTGTTTAGATACTTTACAATATTTGTTCTTTGGTTTTTCCGTGATTATGCAAATTGTCTCCTATATGCTGCTTTTCTTCAGTCTGAAAGAGTCAGAAACAGAAGTACTGGTACAATGTTTGAAATTTAACTTCATGAAAAACGAAACCCTAGGGAGAGACTACAGCGTACCTGGAAATAACACATTGTATTACTAATTCAGCATATGGTGATCAAGACAACTTTGGACTAAGCTTCAATTTCCAGTTCCGAGAGGCACTTCTTACAAGGCTGACGTTGTTCATTACCTGTGCCCTTTTTAGGTGTTGAGTCTCGCCTGGCAACGCTGACGGTCGACATGGAAGAAATTCAGAAGCTACAAGGGATCAAGCCAGGGCCAGACGTCCCACCGGAACTGCTGAGCGGCATTGCGCAGATGGCGGCTGGCGTACCAGCTATGTTCAACACGCTGAATGTTCGCCGCGCCATTATCCCCGCCGCCAACGGCCACTTATCTGCCCGTGCGCTTGCTCGGTACTACGCGGCGCTGGCAGCCGGCGGTGCCATCCCCCCGCCGCACTCCAGCAATGCCAAGCCGCTCCTGGGCAGCCACGTGCACACGCCGGCATTCCCCACCGCCGCCACGTCCAAGAAGAAGAAGAGAGGCTCGGCGAAGAAGAGTAGAGGAAGCTCGAGCTCGATGGAGAAGGTCGAGTATGCCCAGCTGCGCACCAGCGACGCCGACAGCGAAGTGTCGGTGGCGGCATCAGGGAGCACCGGCGGCAGGTTGTTCAGCAACAGCGACAGCGGCATCATGGATGCGTTCATGGGCGTCGGCGAGTACTCAGGCATGATCCACCCGAACGGCAAGTTCGGGCTCGGGTTCAGGAGGTACGGCAGGTCCGGCGCGCCGCCGACGGGGTTTGGGCACTCCGGGATGGGCGGGTCGAACGGGTTCTGCGACCCGGAGCACGGGTTCGCCATCGCCGTGACGGTGAACAAGATGGCGCTGGGGTCCGTCACGCGGCGCGTGGTGCGGTTCGTGTGCGAGGAGCTGGGCGTGCCGGTGCCCGACGAGTTCTCCGTCGCCGGGGAGAAGGGGCCCGACATGGTGCTCAACCTCGCGCCGCCGGCGGAGTAGGTTGACATGTAGTGTAGATATTAATACACACACGCGCGGGGGTCATTTTGACGGGGCGTTTTTACACTGTAAAACTTCAGTAGCGGCTTGTACGTATGGAAATATAATTCTTGATGTGAATGATGGAAGAGGAGAATGCAAAATTGGCTCTAATACGTCAATTATTTGGTGAACTTTGCTCATTGCCGTTACAAAAACCAGGTTTATTTGCTACAGCTCCCTTTACTAACGAGCAACTGGCAACAAAATAATGTTATCCATTATGGAGGTGCGAATTTTTTAGTCAAGGGATTATTTTAACACGGTACAATAACACATGTTCACATACACTCATCCGTATAAGCACCAATGCCAAGTACAGGACTTGTACTCTGGTGGGTTAGTTAACCTAACCTTTAAACTAGGCTTAATTCTCACAGTCAATGGAATTGAGAAAACTAATTGTAGTTTCTCAGCTACGGCATGAAACCATACAAATGTGATCCTCAACTTTTTAAAACTAGTCATGCGCACTTACTAACCCAATTGACAATGAAAGACATTTACATAAATAAAATGAGAAAGATAAAAATATCTAATAAAAACAATGATGCTTTTTATAATCATTACTATGTTGAATCAAATATAAATTATTGGACACTGCCCTACATGTATTAAAAAAAGGAAATTTTAGGAAAACTAGTGAAAAGAGGAAATGTGGGAAAACTATGGTTCCATTACTCAAACAGGCGCAGCTAGATCGCTGGCCAACAGCACACTTACATCATCCGGCACTGCCTCCAACCACAGCCGTTGGGGCTCCTGGCCATTGCTACCCAACGCAGCAAGGGCGTGGGCGATTTTATTACAGTCTCGAGGAACAAATGAGAAGGCAAATGTGCTGAAATTGAGACGGATATCTCTGAAGAGAACACCTTCCGGGGCCCGATCATACTCGGAGCTCTGTACTGCGTGCAGGAGGGTTTGGCAATCCGATTCCACCACTATGTTGGAGATTCCCCATACTGCAGCAGCCGACAGCACCTGAAGGCATGCCTCCGCTTCAGTCTGGATTGCACTGACTGCATGTTGAATCTTTCCTGCCCCCGCCCCGACTGCATCTCCATCTCCAGTAAGTATTATCACGGATTACAAATCCCCATCCTCCGGACCCTGCAGTATTATGGAACGCCCCATCGACATTGATTTTCAATTGCTCCCCATCAGGCTTTGTCCATCTGCATGCCGGTCTGGCGGTCCGTTCCGTCACTGAATTCATTTTGAGCTGCAGGTGTTCCAAAGCCCAGGATCTCACTTGACCAGCCGTGTTCTCCCTTTGTTTAATTTATTCCTTTGGTTCCACCATTTCCATAGCATGCATGCCACTAGCACTTGGTCTTGTTCACCTAGTGTGATTATAATCTGCTGTACCACTTGCCTGGCATTTGCACAGGCACAAAGCCCTAGTCGAACATCTTCCAGCTGCATTTCTCTCCAGAGTTTCTTCGCCTCCTTGCATGCATCTTATGAATAAATGGCACCCGTCTTCATCCAGTCTTCGGCAGCACAAACAGAGAGTATCACATTCGATCCCTTTACGACTGATGTTCGATTTGACAAGCAGGCTATTGTGAGCCAGACGCCACAGGAACTCTTATGATTTGCCTTTTCTAAGACTTCTCATTTCCATATCATTTGGTACTCTTATGATTTTAGCCAATTGACAATGAAAGGAATTCACGAAAGTTAAAAAAAAGGGAAGGAAATAAAATTTTAATAATAATAATAAATATTTTATAATCATGAAAAAAATGTAAATTTAAATATAATTTATTGGACGCTCATGGTAAGAGGGCATATGGATTCTTTGTTAGGTTTTATTAATAGTTGGTATTTTGAAAATACTTATGACTTACACCTTTTTCTAAGACTTATCATTTCCATATCTTTTGGCAACTATGAACAACTTATTAACTACGATTGATCTTATGGTTTTAGCCAATACAAATATACTTTCTTATGTATTCCATCAGTAAAGACTTTAATGATCTATACGCTCTTATATTTCTTTACGGAGGGAGTATATTTTTGTAATCTTACTTTTGAACTTGTTAAGAAAATGGTGTTTTCCATTACTTTTCGCTAATAGTTTGACACTCTACTCATTTTTTAAATCAAGTTTGTTGCAACTATGTGAAACCAAACAATGCGTTAATGGTGAAACCACTTTGACTGGTGTGGACTAGCAATTTTTCTTCTCTCCAAAATTTGAGGTTCAAATGTAGCTTGTATGACTACAAAATTTCAGGACCAAAACAAGACCTAGTTGAAGTACAAGGACATAGGGCAACTTTTTTTTTTGAAGATGTCGTAGATGTGAGTACTGTAAAGCTAACTAATAGTCTGTATAATAGCAAGCTTTAAGATGTCCTTCGTTTCCTTATTTTATTTCAGTGAGAATTGTCCTCTATAAAAGACGATTTCTACGTGGATCGGCAAACACGTGAGTGATGCGACTGGTCAAAATAGTAGCCAAGGACATGTATACGGCATTGTGCTTGTGCGTCGGCTATAGTTAACGGATCACCCATTTCACCTCTCCTATTATTTTTATTTTTAGGAGAGGCGAAATTGGGAAAAGCATTCCAAATTTATGAATTAATTAACAATTTCAATAATACACACACTTTGAAACTCATCACCATATCCGTCTTGCCCCGATGTCGTGTCCACCAGCAGGGAGTGCCCAGTACGACCCAGTCAAAGGGGAGGCCCAAGACTGCCTGGGCTGGCCCATCTAGCGATCCACACACGCAACCTGGCTCACACAGAGTGATTTATCTGTTTTGTTTCACTAGTTCCTTTTCGTGGTTTCCCTCTAGCTAGGGTTATGTTTCTCTCGGGGCGACTAGCCGCCGTCGAGACTTGATCTTCCCTACCGCCGATCCACCCGCAGTTTCTCCCCTCTCCGGGGACTCAAGGGGGTCGTCTCGTTGCACCTCCCCTGCCCGGACTCGCTGCTGGGAGGATCGAGGTCTAGGGCTCCTGCAAAAACCCAATCTGTTCTCTCGGGTTAGGGATCTACATGGCGTCTGAAGCAGGCCCGACTGGGGTCAGCGATGTGGAGAAGATGATGCAAGAACTAGGCCCGAAAGAAGAAGATCTAGATGATGTTGTTTTTGATGAGAAGGAAGCCCCACCGGCGGCGGCTAGGTGGATTGCGCTGGCTAGGGTTAACTCTGATAAACCCTATAGTCAGTTCTGGTTCTTTAAGAACATGAGATCGGCTTGGGACCTCGCACAGGAAGCCAAGTTCAAGCCTCTGGAGGACAGCCTGTACACCATCCAATTCTCCTGCCTAGGGGATTGGGAGAGAGTCATGCATGAGGGCCCGTGGCACTTCCGGGGAGACGCAGTCATCCTCAAGGAGTACGATGGGGTGACAAAGCCATCTACAGTTAGACTGGACAGAATTGAGATTTGGATCCAGATTCACGATGTCCCTGATCTCTATGCTCATCTGGTTCCGTCCCTGGCGGCTAAGGTAGGTGAGGTGCTGTTCACGGAACCCCAATCTCAAGATTTCGCGGGAAACTTTCACCGTGTGTGGATTAGGATCAATGTCGATAAACCCCTCAAAAACGCAGTTTCCATGATTCGAAGTGGCGAGCGTCAGATCTACAAGGTCCAGTATGAAAAGCTTCCCGATTGGTGTGCGGTTTGTGGCATGTTAGGCCACCTGTTCAAGGAGCACGAAAACGGCATCCACCCTCCATCGGCTCTTGTCTTCAAGAACCTAAGGGCTTCATGGTTTATGCGAAGCGGCAGAGGTCCAGGTGGTGGACGCGGCCGGAGAGGCGGACGTAGAGGCAGCCGAACGGGAAGGGGAGGACGAGGCGAGGCCACAAGCTCCCAGTTCAGCGGTGCAGAGGAGGAGTTTACTGTAAGTGACCTAGAGATGCAGGATGCTGAGAGGAACAGGAAGAGGGGATCGGAACCAGCAGCTGCCAATGGAAAAGCATTGTTGCCAAGTGGCCCAGTTCAAGCGCTGGCAGCAAAACACGGCAAGGTCTTAACACTTCCACCTCCGGCAGCGCCTCTGAGCCCAAGTGCAAAACAGGATCTGAAGCGTGCAAAAGTAGTGACAGAAGAGGAGAAGAGTGCAGCAGCATTGCAAGGTGTTCCAAGTGTGAGCGACTCAAAGTTGGCGGGCCCGAGTGACAGGCACCGCCGAGCCCAATGAGTGTGCTATGCTGGAACTGTCGTGGCGTGGGCAAAGCCGTGACAGTCCTTGAACTTCGCGATTTCGCGAGGAAATTTGCCCCTGCCCTTCTTTGTATTGTAGAAACTCAGCTTGATGGCTCGAGGGTAGAAGCACTAGCAGGAACACTTGGTTATGATCATGGTCATGCAGTCAGTAGTCAGGGTAGAAGTGGTGGTATCAGTATTTTCTGGAATGATGGAATAATAGTGGAAATTTTGGGTTATTCGGTGTACCATCTTGATTGTTCTATTTTAGAACCGGGAGAGGATCCTTGGAGGCTTACAGTAGTATATGGCGAAGCGCAAACACACCAAAGGCACCAAACTTGGGACGTGTTAAAGAACATAAGCACTTTGAGTGACCTCCCATGGCTATGCTTAGGTGATTTCAACGAAGTTTTACGTCCGGAAGAGAATGTGGGCATTGGCCAACGAAGCAATGCTCAAATCCAGGCCTTCAGGGATGCCGTGGACGTTTGCATGTTGATGGACATTGGGTATGTAGGGATCCCTTGGACCTTTGAAAAGAAGGTGACGGGAGGCTCGTTTACCCGTGTTCGCCTTGACCGAGCGCTGGCCTCGACAAGCTGGCATGATCGCTTCCCTCTAGCGGAACTTACTCACCAGGTGGCGGCCACGTCAGACCACAACGCAATTTTGGCAAGGCTGAACAGAGAGGAAGGGCAACAGCAAAGGCCGAATCCGTTCAAGTATGAGGTCATGTGGGAGGGCCATGACACCTGGGCGAGCATGATAGC